GTAATAAATCAATTGAAAGACAACCAAACGTTTTCATATTTTAAAGATATGGAACAGATATTGTAAGTCCAGTATTTGTTGTGTAAATAGAATCAATTTCAATATTTAATTTTGTATATATTTGCAGATGTTTATCATCAATAATGTATTGTAGTGAATCCAAGCCAGTGTGAAAGAAAATTCGCCTAAGACCATTAACTCCAATTATGTTGTCACAAAATGTTATAATGATAATTGCTGAATATAATACGGTAAGTTGACCTCCTATATAATATTGGTAAATTAGCAAAGGTATTAATTTGTTTTATTTTGATCTAGCTTTTGAATGATAAGTAGTTGATAAATACAAGATGGTATGAAAATTGGTCACTAAGGAATACTTTGCAAACAGATGAAGATAGAGATATTTTTGAGTGTGTGCAAATAGTATCAAGAAATTTGTAAGTTCTAAAATTATTGAGAATATGTTTGTATATTCGTTAATGATATTTATATCTTTTGCTTTGCAGTTTTATGTATCTATCCTAAGTAAGTTTCAACGAGAGCAATGAGTTGAATGAAGACACATTTGTCCATCGATATTGCCATCAAATTCTTGAAGAGATATTTGGTAAAACTGATTTTGCATTAGTTTGGTAAGTTTCATGTAATCAATATATTTATTTATATATCACTATATGCTTATAACTGTAATTTAAATGAAGGGCAAATGGTGAGTCCAAAAGTTCGAAAGAAAGATGGGCATTAGATGGCAACAATCACGGAAGGAAACCAGACTTTCGAGTACTTGAAAAAATAGACGATGCAAACAGAGAGTTCTTATTTGGCGAAATAAAACCTTCAGCCTATACAGATATTATAAGTAAAAGTGTGATAAAGTTGGCGGAGTTTATGAAGGGATCTTTAGACCTTATCATCAATAGATGTGATTATATTGTCAGTATAGAAATCTATGGAATATTGATCTGTGGTAAGTTATCAAATATCGTTATTATATCTTATAACAAGTTATGTTTATCTGCTAAACTAATTGAATATAATTCAAACAGGAGATATAATTAAAATTTTTAACATAGATTTGGCATATGATGGTCTTTATCATTGTAGTTTATTATTAAAAATACTGCTTTCAACAGAGAATTTGAATTTTCTAAACATTGTTACTGTGGTATCTACATTATATTCATTGCTGATAAGAACGTTCATAATTTTCAAACAGGTTGTTTTGCAATGTAATCTTATTATTTTTATTTTATGTAAAAAAGGTTAAGATCTACAATCAATGTAGTAAATTCATTTCAACTACAATCATCATCTTCAAGTCATTCTTATTATTGGAAATTGAATTCGTCACCAAGAAAAATACGCGTACTGATAGTCAGAGCTTAGGTGATAATATGTTGGTTTGAAACTAATAACTAAATGGTATTGTGATTATCTTACAGTCATCAATTTGTCAATGCAAGTTACATATTAAATAAAATGCTATAATGTAGAATCATATTTATCCACTGCCTTTTCTGCCTGAAATTCAGATTATTAAATGCAATTATTTAGGTTATTATTTGGGTATGCTGATAATTTCCAATTTTAATTCAAAGACAACCAATGATAAACATGAATGTCTTGGCAGCACTCATAAAAAATCTGAATATGATATCTTAATGTAATATATTCGTCTTGCACATATATTATGCTTACTAGCAAAGTAGTACTTCTGTGAGATTTTGTGTAAGCTTGGTATTGTATTATAAACAGTCAAGATCGTTTTGGCGAAGACGTTATGTCATAGTCTTACCTTAGTAATCTGAAAATTCTATTTGAATTCTTTTATGTAATAGTAAGACACACATAATCAGATTTTTTAAGGTTATTCAAATTATTCTGTACTATATGCAGATCTCACGTGATCTTGTGAATGCGTGCCTGATCTTTTTCTTGATGATATCAAACTTTCACAAGTGATTCTTGTTAATTTCTCAAATATAAACATTAATAAAATTTTGTCATAGTTTGGGCATTGATTTTTTGCACTAACTAAGATCTACGAAAAGCGTTATAATCAGGCTATACGACTAATGTTTAAAAAATGGTAAAAATTTATCCGCATATACTTTACACAAATTTAGAATGTATTTATAAAAATTGCAATGTGTTAGTTAGAAATATAATAAAATTCATATATGTGAGGGGTTCAAAAAGTTTTGACACAAGAGCGTATAAAATTTTTATTTACATAATAATAGAGTATATATATCCAAATTTGATATAATTATATATAGGATTACCTGTATATAGAAATTTATAATTATAGCGGTTCTATTGAGTATGAAAAAGCAACACATTTCTTAGAGATAGGTTGCAATTGTGGTTGTTCAAAAAAGATTCTGAGAGAGAAGTTTGCTAAGTTACGTGAGATATTCTAAGCTCTCTCTAGATCTGAACAAGATATATTTTTAATGGCCTAGTTGAAAGCAATGAATGGTGGAGAAATAACTGCCAGTCGGCGTTTTAAAAGAAAAACATGTACTAATAAGTAAACGTTTTACTACTGAGATCGCAATATGTCACTTTGTCAGAAAACGTATCTCAATATATTAGGAATTGGCTGTACGCACTTTGAAAACGTCAGAAGTTACCTAGCAATGAATAGTATAATACCGCGCATTCACAGTAACATCAAACGAATACCATGATGGAAAATCAAAATAACCATTGATATAACTGTTACTACCGCTGTGAAAAATTTTCTCGAAAACTATGCGGAAATTCATAGATTATCAAGTTCTGGTAGAAACGTCAATCGAATTACTCAATCGCTTACACTTTTGCCAGCTGAAACGAGTTACAAATCGGTCTATCATGATTTTATTGCCAGTCTCGAAAATGATAGCCCATTGAAATTGTTAAAATATGATATATTTCGTAAGTTATAGCATCAATTAACGCCTTATATTTAAATCATAAGTCTGAGAACTGACTTATGTGACATATGCTAACATTTTCGGAATGGCTTACAATACAATACTCACAAGGAAGAAGAGGCGAAAGATTTACTAAAAAGATTTAAAAAACATTTAGTTAAGGCTAAATTAGAGAGAAATTATTATCACAAAAATACGAAATTAGCAGAACAACAGAGAAAATTAGTAGATAAGCACTTTATAACAAGAGGTAAAGCTAATTATTATAGCATTGATGCTACTGCTCATTATAGTTACGATTGAGCTTAATACGTTCATGTTTCCCATTCTGATCAACAGGTAAGTAAGATTTATTATCTCAGTTCACATAAAGTGCATTTATTTGGTATTCAAGATGAGGTAGTATGCAAACAAATTAATTACGTTCTCAATGAAGACAAAATTATAGAGAAAGGCTCTAATAGCACACTGAGTCTGCTATTCGATGGGATAAAAAAATTGAATAAAGGTGAAAAATATTTAAAAATTACTTGTGATAATGCAGGTGGGCAAAACAAAAATAATACTACTATTTGATTTTACTTATATTTAGTAATTTGCAGTTATTATGAAAATATCAAATTAAATTTTATGATGCCTGGATATATTAAATTCAAATGTGATGGTAGTTTTGGATTGATTAAGAAATTCTATAGAAAAATAACAGTAGATTGTATAGATCATATTGTTGAGGTTGTGAAAAAATCAAGTACAGCAGGATTAAACAAAACTTAGTATTATGTCAATGGAAAAGGTTTTCAATATTTAGATCTTAATTCTATGTTAGGAATTTTTTTTAAAAAATTGAGTGGTTTACAAAAATATTAGCATTTTGTATTCGAAGCAGCTACACCTGGTATTGTTCAGACTCAGCTGATTGCTAATGGTATTTTTACTAAATTTAATTTATTGAAAACCAAAAAAGCCAGCATTTCTGAAATTACCAAAGAAATTAAATCTTTTTTCATTCTAGTCCTAATCC